TAACCCTAATTATAACCCTAACCCTAACCCTAACCCTAACCCGAACCCTATCCCTAACCCTAACCCTAACCCTAACCCTAACCCTAACCCTAACCCTAACCCTAACCCTAACCCTAACCCTAACCCTAACCCTAACCCTAACCCTAACCCTAACCCTAACCCTAACCCTAACCCTAACCCTAACCCTAACCCTAACCCTAACCCTAACCCTAACCCTAACCCTAACCCTAACCCTAACCCTAACCCTAACCCTAACCCTAACCCTAACCCTAACCCTAAGCTAAAAACAACTACCGAAATTATACCTACCTAAAGCAGGCAACGGCAGTTTAGCCCTAATCTTACCGGGACGCGGAAAGATCGCTACCCGAACGGCTAAACGCCTATCCGACGGCATTACAGCTATCCGACGGCCTAATATTGTACCGTTAGGGCAATCTAACTCCGCGCGACGAGTAGATATATAGAGACAAGCCTATATAGTCCCTAAAGAGCATCTAACAGGCGAAACTACTTCTTTGTTTCTATAAGAGTAGTAGGACTGCTTTTGTGTTTATTTAGGACTCTATAAACTTATTCTTGTTCCTGTTCTTTTGCGGCTTTATTTAGAGTAAAGCTGTTCCTAACCCTAACCCCTTTAGAACGAAAACAACAATACCGAATTTAGTAGTTTCTCTTCCCCTTCTTAGTACTAAACTAAAGGCGGCTTCCGGAGTAGACGACGCTATTTCGATAGCTAACTCTATTTAGGATTTAATAAGAGTAATCCCGAAGAGCTTTTAAGCCTCCTTCGGTATCTTATTAAAAGAAACGTTCGATACTGCTGTTAAAGTATAGAACGTCTAAACAACTCTAGCTAGCCTAGAGAACTACTATATAAAGGGAACCTTCCCGGCGTATATTTTTAGTAGCCTAAAGATACTAGCTACGCAGGTATCGAAGGAATTCTCAATAAGCTCTACCTTTTAGGCGTTTAATACCGCCTATAAGAATACCTTGTTCGAGACGCAGAAGGAATTCTTAAATCTAAGCATTTAGATAAAGAAAAAGGAGCACGAATCACTCCTATATCTTCTATTAGACAAAGAACTCTCTATTAAAGCTTAGGCCGAAATAGAGACGATCTTTAATCGTCTTAAAGATGTCTATTAAACTCCGAATCCAAACAAGGAGGGACACTTTGTATTAAGCCCTATCTTCGCAAACGAGCTTAATAAGATTAAAGAATACGGACTCGACCTTTATAGAAAGGCAATAAGTCTCGGCTTTGCAAAGTACTCGAAAGAACGTACAGTTCGAGTACAGAAACAAGTTGCTTTAAGCAAGGCAGATACGACAATAAAAGACCTGCCTACGCTTAATATTAAAGCGACGATTGCCGAAGCAGTATAGTAAGCACTTAAAAAACAAACTACTAAACTACGAGGTTCGTATAGACGTACTAATTCAAGTACTATACTAACGACTTAAAGGTACCAAACCCAAATCTAAGCTAAAGACGAAAGCAAAGCTACTAGTTAAAACTAAGAAGGAAAGGTAAGGAAAAGGGATAGGAAAGAAGCAAAAGAAGCGGAAATGAGGTAGATTCTCTCTTCGCCTAATAGGTTCAAACCGTTAGACGTCTCTTCTTTACCTAGGCGGTTTTTTGTATCTAGTTTAGATACTTAAGCAAAGTACTTACTGTTAAATTCCTCTTTATTGTACCTCGACAGTATATTGCTTAGTATATGCGAAATATTTAAATGTCCTAGCGTATCTCTACCTCGAGATATCGAACAGCGATTGTCCTTTAACGGAAAATATATCTTTGCCTCTAAATTAGATAGAAAACTGCCCCTTTAAGCCTAGACAAAGGCAGAAAGAACGATTAGGTTAGCCTTATTCTTTAAAGGACAAACGGACCGGGACTACAACCTAACGTTCTATATTAAATCAGGCTGGTTACCGCTAGCGAATATCTAACTAGATTTGGCACTAGGCGCAACTAGAGCCTAGCTTACAAACTAGACAAAGAACCTACCTAACAAACTATTCCATCTAGTTAAAACTAAGGACATACTAGACTTTCTTTATAGGAATAAGTACCTATTAAAAGTAACTAATAAAAACTTAGGCCTAGCGATAATAACAAAGACCTAGTATATAGAACAAGCCCGTAAGCATTTAGAAAATAGCGATGCTTACGTCTAGCTCCTAGACTAGGAAATAGAACCGATCCTTAAAGATTTTAGAACACTACTCTTTGCATTCGAATAGCCTACGTCTATAGAGAAATAGCTTAAGACGACAACTGCTAAACTACTAAGGTTCTATATAATTCCAAAAATATATAAGAATCCGATAGCTTCTAGACCTATTATCCCGTCTTATAGTTAGATTATAAGCCGATACTTAGAAGTAGTAGACTACTACCTTCAGAAACTACTACCGCAATATCCGTAGATTTTAGATTTAACTAAGACTTTTATTCACAATATACGATAGTACTAAGACAGCCTAGAAGGCGTATACTTTATAACAGGCGATATAAGCGCTATGTATACAAACATACCCCCGAAAGATGCTATTCGAATCTGTAAGAGCCTCTTATAGAAATCAGACATCAACTTAGAAGGCTATACGGTAGATTCTATTATAAGCTTACTACAGTTTGTCTTAGAATACAACTTCTTCTACTACGAGAAAGAGATCTTTAAGCAAGTAAGTAGCTTAGCTATAGGAACGTCCTGCGCCCCGGTAGTAGCAAACCTATACTATGCTTTTTTCGAAAGAGCTCTCCTCCCTAGATACCCGAAGATTCGCTTCTATAAACGCTATATAGACGATATCTTCTTACTGTTTAAAGGGACAGAAGAAGAACTTATTAGCCTACAATCAGCCTTTATTATTAAAGGACTAACGATTAATTAGGAACACTCGAAAACAAGTACGCACTTTCTAGATATGCTTCTGCTTAACGAATCTAATAGGCTAGTAACTTCGATGTATCGCAAGTTTCTAAACAAGTATATATATATCCCGTAGTCCTCGTTATACCCCGAAAGTATTAAGACGGCCTTTGTTAAAGTAGAAAGGACTAGAATACGTACGCTTTGCTAAAAAGACTTAGACTTCTATAGCGTAGAGAAGTTCTTTTTCGCAAACCTACTTAGGAGAGGATATCCTAAGAAGACGCTTTTAAACTAGTTCTCTAAACCCCTAGGTAATATAAGGGCACAAGAGGTAAAACAAGACAAGTCTCTACTACCGTCTTATTATAATCTAGTATAGGAATACATTAGTACTATATAGCTTAGTTAGGAGTTTCTAAAGAACTACCGCGACGCTAAAATAACGCTTCCGGCTTCGATTAGCAAAGGCTTCCTCCTTAGCTTAAAGAGAACTCGTAATTTCTACGACCTCTTTAATAAGACTAACTTAACAATCCTAGAATAGGACTTAACACTCTCGATACCCTAGCGATAGGCTTCGATATAGTATAAACGAGTACGGTATAGCCTTTTAGGCATTAGGTATATACGGGTTTAAGTACCGAGTATAGTAGAAATATAGCGAGTATACGAGGTAGAGGAGAAAGATTTCGATCGAGTACCCTCTATAGTAGTAGAAAACCTATAGGTCTGCTATATAAAGTACGAGTTAGACCCTTCTCGAAGGGGACTATACCCTCCGAAAGTATACCTATACTTGTACTCCGAGGATGGTTCCTAGAAGGGAATACGTAGTACTAGATATCTCGGCTTATAGGGAAACGGTTATCGCTTAGTCGAATAGTTACTAGGTTTAAAACCCTAACCCCTAACCCTAACCTAACCCTAGCCCGTCTATACCTATTAAAGTAGGTAAAAGACGTTATTTATAAGAGATATTATACTAGATATACTCATTATTACCTCAAGTAGTAATTAGATCTATATACGACGACTAGATATTCGCTTTTAGCGATAGACTACTTGTATTCTAGTCTAGGGGCCCCCCCCTACGGGCTGTTTTTTACAGCACGACAGGGTACCCCCCTAGAAGTAGTAGATATTTTTATATTATCTGAAAGTAGACGACTCGACGATTCTAAAACCGTTCTACTTTTTAGTAGGCGGCGTTAGATAACCGAGAAATCTACGTTTCTATTTTCCTAATCGGACGAGCGGACGAGGGTAGACGAGCGGACGAGGGCGGACGAGCTCGTCCGCCCTCGTCCGGGGACCCCCCCGGAAGTTCCCCGGAATTTGGACGTTTGATATCGAAAATAGGCCTATTTTTTCCGCTAATTCCGAATCTGAACTCGGTTTTGCCGAGAGATAACTAGGAGTCGAGATATAGCTATCTCGAACGAGATACCTACTATAAACATTTTAACTCTTAACGGAATTAAGAGAAGTAGAATATAAGACTACTATACCCTCGAATAGAGAGGGATAGAGGTACAAATTGACATCTAAGAACTAGTATAGGCAATAGGGATAGTAAGAGGTTCGCCTCGAAACCCTCCCTATCTAAAATATTCTTAGACGATATTAATAGTCGATTCCCTACCCTACTATTAGATTACTATCTATAGAGGAGTAGAATAAAGCCTATAGATTAGGACTTATACTGCCCCTAGTAATAGGGAGGTATACCCTATTTGTAGCGAGATAGATAGAACTTGAAACCTCTTATAACCCCTTTCTCCTTCCTTCTAAGAGTAGACCTTAGCTATTTACCTAGGCTCTAGTTAATCTAGGCACTAGGTAGATACGTATAAGGAGAATGTGCCGCGTAAGAGGCTTTTAACGATATATATCAACCTATAATCTATAGATACTAGGCTGAATTAAAGGGCTAATAGAGGAAAGACCCCTCCGTATAGATCTACTCTACTTACTACGCCGCCCTATAAAGGTACCGAGGTACCGAGGACCGGAACTAAGCGTTCCCGGACCCGTACGCTTCCCCGTACGAGTCTAGAACCGGAACTAGTCCTTCCCGGAAGGATCTAAGCTAAAAACAACTACCGAAATTATACCTACCTAAAGTAGGTAACGGTAGTTTAGTCCTAATCTTACCGGGACGCGGAAAGATCGCTACCCGAACGGCTAAACGCCTATCCGACGGTATTATAGCTATCCGACGGCCTAATATTGCACCGTCGGGGTAATCTAACTCCGCGCGACGAGTAGATATATAGAGACAAGCCTATATAGTCCCTAAAGAGTATCTAATAGGCGAAACTACTTCTTTATTTCTATAAGAGTAGTAGGACTGCTTTTATATTTATTTAGGACTCTGCAAACTTATTTTTGTTCCTATTCTTTTACGGCTTTATTTAGAGTAAAGCTATTCCTAACCCTAACCCTAACCCCGGTCCGACCCCGATTCCGATACCGATACCGATACCGATACCGATACCGATCCTAATACCGATACCGATACCGATACCGATACTAATACCGGGATACAAAAACCGAAGTCCGAAATTAACCGAGTCGGAGCCGGATCCGAGATATATCTAAGAGCGGGCCGAATATCGAAGTAAGCCCTACTTTCCGATATCTAAAAGCGAGCCGCTTTTCGAAATCCGGGAGCGAGCCGCTTCCCGAAATCCGGGGGCGAGCCGCTTCCCGAAATCCGGGAGCGAGCCGCTTCCCGAAATCCGGGGGCAAGCCGCTTCCCGAAATCCGGGGGCGAGCCGTATCCCGAAAGCGAGCCGTATCCTAAAGGTAAAAGCGAACCGTATCCCGAAAGCGAAAGCGAGCCGTATCCCGAATATAATATCTTATTAACGAAGGTATAAGGGTTAGTAGCTAAGTAGTAAGAATATATACGAAACTTTAAACTAAACTAAAGGGAGTACTAAATTAATATAGCTACTATCTATATAAGACGAACTACGAAGAAAGGAAGAAGGATACCTTAAAAGGAGAGCCCCTTCCTTAGTATTCCGCTCTACGGCTATCTAGCGCGTCCGACGCGTAAGCGTAAGTACGTATATCCTACTTACTAGCTTCTTAGTAAACCTCTACCTTTAGGTCCTTCCTTACGCGCTAAGCGCGCGCGCGTATCCCGCTTATCCGCTATCTTATAGTACTTTTATCTCCTAGCCGACTTGCGCGGTATACGTATACGAACTCGTTTAACCGCTCTTAAGTAAATATATTTCTCCTAGCTCTTCCCTACCTTCCGGTTCCTTCCTACTACTCGGATCTATCCTACGACTCTATATATCTCGCTTACTATCGTCCGTATATATATATATATAGTTTAGTATAGTCCCGTCGTTTATATATTAATATATAACGTATTATTCTACTATATACGGCCTCCGCGGGAGTTACTAAGATATTATATTATATAGCTAAATAGGCGGCTAACTAGGCGACCTAGGCGTCCTAGGCGTCCTAGGTATACTAGGCGTCCTAGGCGTCCTAGGCATTCTAGGCATACTAGGCGTTCTAGGCGTCCTAGGCGTACTAGGCGTACTAGGCGTCCTAGGCGTTCTAGGCGTCCTAGGCGACCTAGGCGACCTAAGCGACCTACTACTAAGGTAACTTAAATCCGATATTACTTTATAGTATAGCGGCTAGCTTATAGGACTTGTCGGTGCTTTCTAGGTAGCTACTATAATAGAAGGGGGCGATAGCGAGCTATATTTCGAACGTAATATCTCGAAGGCGTAGCCCTATCTTAAATACAATATCTAAAATACGATATCTAAAATACGATATCTCGAACCGCGATAGCGAGCTATATCTTAAACGCGATATCTTAAAGGCGATAGCGAGCGATATCTAGAATACGATATCTAAAATACGATATCTTAAACGCGATAGCGAGCGATATCTCGAACGCGATATCTCGAACGCGATAGCGAGCGATATCTCGAATACGATATCTCGGATACGATATCTCGAACGCGATAGCGAGCGATATCTTAAATATAATATCTCGGATACGATATCTCGAACGCGACGCCTTATAGGCGAGAGCGGAAATCTCGAACGCGACGTCTCGTAGGCGATAGTAGATATCTCGAACGCGATATCTCGAAGGCGATAGCGAGCTATATCTCGAACGCGATATCTCGCCGTATCTCGAACGCAACGTCTCGTAGGCGATAGCGAGCTATATCTCGAACGCGCGCTATATACTAAACGCATTCGCGTATAGCTATAAACAATTTTTAACTAACTAGCTATTATATATATATATTAGATACTTTAATACTATATTAGTAGAGGGAGAAACTTTTAGTATATACCTAAACTTTCGCCGATATAGATAATATATATATTTTTTAAGATAGATACTTTAATACTACGTTAGTATAGGAAGAGACTTTAGGTATATATCTAAACTTTTATTACTATAGACGCATTTCCGCCCTAAGCTACTAACTAGTAGATATATATATATATAATATAGGAAAGGAGAGATATCTACTACTACGAACTAGCTTTAACTATATTACCGATAACTATATTACCGAATACTCTACTACTTATTAAATAGGTTCTTGCCTTACTTCTAGTAACTACCGCCCGATAGATCCTATAGGTAATTATACGCCCGAACTCGCTCTTACGTACTTAACCGATCGAATCTAGCTACGAACGCTATCTCGCTAGCCGCCTAGGTACTATTAGGTACGGGTAGCGAACTAGGCAGGTTTATAATAATAAACTTGTTACGTAGACCTCTAGTATTCGAGATAGTAGTAGCGATCTCCTAAGCGGTCGGCTTTAGAGGTCCGGGTAAGAGAGTAGGTAGAGGAGTAGGTAGTATATCTAAGCGATTAGTAAGTTCGCTATTACTTAAAGACGGCGAAGGATTACGTAGTAGATTATCGTTAATACTTAGAGACGGCGAAGGATTACGTAGTAGATTATCGTTAACTATAGCTAGCCGCGGGCTTAGAGGTAGAGGAAGTAGTA